TCGTCCTATCTTATAACCACCTCGAATAAATATCGTACACGTAGCACCGTCCTGCGACTGCGCCGACGCCCTCTTCATCGGCGCCAGGATCAAAGCCCAAAGGGCGTGCGGGCAGGGCGCCTACAGAAGCCACATCGACGCCTACACAAGCCACCCAAACCATTGCATGAAGCCGCTCACAGATGCCACAGACGACAGGACTGCTCGGAAGGGTACGGGGCGATAGGTTCAACATGAAAGCAGTCCATTGAGCTTCACAAGAGCATGCATGACGCTAGTAGGCTGCTGTTCGAGCTGCCGATGCCTTTGCATCGCAGTTGCTCCTTCCGAGATGCTCAAGTGGGCATTTACCTCATTTAGCATTCACCCATTATGTGTTGATGCGCAGGACAGCTTGGGATGGCCTCCAATGGCATTACCACGGCAGAGTCATCGCCAGGAGCGGCCAAGCTGCAACAATGCTTGGGCTGTGCTGCCTTATCACCATCTCGGGTCTCCGCAATCGTGGTATGCTGCAGAGCTCGGACTACAGTGCGATGATTCCTTGCAGCAAACAGTATATTTCGTCTGGACCATGCTATCTTAGTGGCCGCTGTTGTTGTCTTCTTGCAGCGTAAAGACGCGGATGGCCGAGACGCCGTTGTGGATCGTCTCGAGCTCGGTCGTGTCGTGACTCACGCGGCGACGGAGGAGCGTCACGGCCTTGCCCTTCATTTCGGTCTCAAGCACGAGGCTGCCGTCTTCGGCCCACGTCGGCGTACCCGTCACGGGTCCGTCCATGCTCTCCATGGTCTGCGCGCCATGCCCGACCTAATATGTGTCATGGCGTGAGAGAAATGGATGCGGTCGAATGGACTCGAACCCGGATCTCGTTGGTGAAGTCCTTGATGCCGCCGACGTTGGAGATCGCAATCTTGTCGCCCGACTGCGTCACGGTCTGCACGAGGCGGTTGACGCCAAAGCCCATGATGGAGCCAGCCTTCCGCTTGAGCCAAGCGACGTCAAGCTCCTTGAGGAACTCTTCCATGTTGCGCACCTCGGTGCACTTCCACGTCCCGCTAAAGTCGTGCATGTTTGAAAATGACGTCGAATCAATAACTACATTTTCTAAAGTTCGTCGGTCGAAGCTTCCTCCTTGGCACTGTTGGGGCCAGAGCGAACCGATCGCTGCAGGGACAGGCTGGCGGCGGGTCGTCCACCGCTGAACGCTATCCTTGCCACATCCCGTGCGCACGATGGAAGGATGCATAAGCTGATGAGCAAGTCGCCAGTGCACCGACAGCTAGGCGCGGCTGGAGCGCGGTGAAGTCTGCACTTGAACGAAGCACGTGGCTTTGTGGCAGGCAGCATATGCATATATACAACACATCCTCCTCGACGACCGCATCTACCGTCGCTTTGGAGGCACCTAGCCAAGGTGTGCCATGGACAAGATTAGTTAGTCGCGCGAAATCACAGTCGACTCGAACGACCAAGGCGAGCCATGGCAGGAACGCACCGGATTGGCTGGCGGGGCTTTGAAGAGTGCGTGCGCAACAGAGTGTAGGTCGTCGTCGTAACACCGTGCAGTCAACCCAGTACTGGCGCAAGCATGGTCGCGCTCTCGCTCGTCTCCCGCGTTCTGCTCGTCGTGGGCCTCGTCGCCGTGCCGCTGTACCTCGTACACCCAACTGGCGTCCTTAAATCGGGCGCTAACCGCTGCGAGTAGGCGGCGACGTCGCTCTCTGCGCTCCTCGTGCTCGCCGTGCTCTACGTGCCGCCGGTCGCGCTCTTTGGCTGGATGTACCTCTCGGCAACGGCGCGGCCCACGTCCAATGTCAACTGGGACATGCTGTTTCGCGTCTTCTGCGGCGGCCTCTGCCCCGGCGTCCTTCTCGCGATGGTCGTCGAGTCGATCCTCACGGCGACGCTCTTCTTCCTCTGCATCGACTCGGCCGACGTCTTTGCGCAGTACGAGCGCTACGGGTCATCGCACCCGAACGCGACGTCGACCGAGATCCTCTCGCATCTGCACATTCGCCACACGCTGGGCTTTTTCATCTTTGTGTTTTGCCTCGCGTTCGTCGTCGCGGGCCTCGTCGAAGAGTACGTCAAGTACTGGCTCGTGCGAGGCCGCTGCTGCGTTGCGTCTGGCTTTTGCACGCCCTTGACGTCGCCCCACATTGTCGACCCGTTCTACACCGTGCTCTGCTTTGCCGCCGCCGGCTGCGGCTTTGCCACCTTTGAGAACGCTGGCTACGCCTTTACGCAAGCGACGTTCGACGCGCAGCTGCAGACCGCGCTCCTTCGCGGCCTCCTCGCGACGCCCTTGCACGTGCTCTGCACAAGCCTCACGGGTATGCGCGTCGTCGCGGCCGAGCTGCGCAAGGCCCAATCGCCGCCAAGTGCACTGGAGCCAGCGTCCACGTGCGAGGCGCTTCGCGCCACGATCCGTTGCATCTTGCCAGCTGTGGTGCTTCACGGCGTGTACGACTTTCAGATGTTTGTGTGCACTGCGCTGTGGCCCGAGTCGACGTACGCATCATTGCTGACGGGCGCGCTCTGCCTTGTCCTCGGCGCGTGGTATGTCTACCGCCTCTATTCGTTCATCAACTGGGACTACCAAGTCCTCGACTACAGCGACGCCGCGGTGCACGCGATGGAGACGGGCGCCGAGCTCCAGCCACCGACGCCTGGCCACGTGCTGTAGCGAAGTAAAGAAGCGGTCCTTCCTGCCGCCTTGCTAGAGGAATAATTTCGTGCATTTTCGTGGATTTATGAGCATTTTTGGCATATATGGGTCTTTTCACGGTGCTTCTGCGTCCGAGGGAAAGGCGTTTGCGGCCGCCCTCGTCCCAGAGCGCGCCGAGCTCATTCGGCAATTGCCTCGCTCCCGATGCTGACCTCGTTCCTTCTGCGCACCCTCGCGCTGGCGCCACTGCTCAGCGCCGCCTACGACGGCCATGCGACGACGCTCGGCCCCGACGACGACGCTGGCAACAACGCGACCTTGGGCACGTGCCAGCTCATGAAGACGCTGCGCAACGCTGTGCGGTTCCAAGTCTCGCTGAGCGCGCACCAGTGGGCGCGCGGTGCCAACTGCGGGCGCTGCGTCCAAGCGCAGTGCTCCAACTGTCCGTCGCCGCTGCCGATCACGGCGCAGGTGACCGACCGCTGCTCCAACTGCCCGGCTGGCGACATTGACGTGTCCCGTCCGATGTTCCAAGCGCTCTTTGGCGCGCCCACGGGCCGCCGCCCGCTCAAGTGGGGCTTTGTAGACTGTCCCGTCGAAGCAACGCTCGCGCTGTGCACCAAGCCGCGCAATACGAGCCTCTACACGATCTTTGTCCAGCCCACCAACACGGTGTCGGGTGTTGCTAACATGACGATCGATGGCTTCAAGGGCCGCCTTTCTGGGAAAGGATCGTACTTCTTCAAGGCGCCCATGCCCCGCAACTGGAGCGACGTGCTCATCAACCTCACTGCGACCAACGGCGAGAAGATCACAGCCTCCGTCGCCCTCCGGTCGGGCCGCTGCGTGACGATTCCGCACCAGTTCCAGCCAACGGCAGTAGGCTCGGCTTTGATTCAGGCTTCGTCGTCCTCGCTCGATAGCGACGATGACATCGTCGTCCCAACCACCACGCCGCGTCCTGTGCCGTATTAAGAGCCCGGCCTTTCTGGCCAGAGACTGTACTATCTAACCGAGCGATTGTAATACCGTCGCTGGCTCTTCTGCGCAGGCTAGCTTGGAACGACAGGAGCTTGCGGCGACGTACGCAGGAGCTTCTTGCTGTTCTGTCTGTACCTCGCCCTTTCCGTGTCCATGCGACCGATGCCCGAGGACGCTTGTCACGACGACGGCGCAGCGCACGGTCGTGGCGACCGGGACCTTTTGCAACTGCTGCTCATCATCAAGAACGCAGTGATGGTCGGTGTTGTAGTAGGAGCGACGACGATCCGCGTTCGTGTTTAGTCAGTCGGTGCCATCGACTAGACGAAAAGGCGTCAATCGAAGGTCGAATCTTTTTCCGGACACGGCCGTTTCGGTCCATATTATCCGGATGAACGCAATCGACTTCCACTCATCGAGATGCCTCAACAAGACTGGATCCGCGTCCTCCGTGGCGTCGGCCTTGTCGCCGAGCAGGTCGTCAAGAACGCCAAGCCGCTCGAGGAGCAATCCAAGAAGGTGCTCCAGCACGTCGCTGACCTGGCCACGCTTGTGCCCCAGGTCGCGGCCCAAGTAGGGTCGCAGCACCAGCACCATGCCACGCCGCCGGCGACCGACTCGCTTGTACCGCCACCGTCCGAGTTCAAGCCGGCGCCCACCATGACGCCGCCGGTGGCCATCGAGGTTGCCGCTCCGATTTCGCCGCCTGTGGTGGAAGCGGCTTCCATCACAATGCCCGCGGTGGAGGCGTCCACAACGTTGAAGACCCCGACGACATTCGAGGCCAATGTGCCCAAGTTTGTCGAGCCCGCGATGCCTTCGTTCGAGCCCAAGGCGCCTTTTGCGCCAGTGTACATGCCACCTCTGCAGCCGCGCGAGTGGACCGAGAAGCACGTGCCGTCGACGCCGCTTGCTCGCATCGTGGGCTTTGGTGCGCTGGCGGCTCGCCTAGCTGTCGGGACGGCCACAGCCGTGATCCAGAACCCGTCGGGCGAAAAGCAGCTCAAGAACGCGCTCATTTCCGACGCCAATGCTGAGCGCCTTGCCGACGCGCTCTGCACCATGCGCGGTGTACGGTCGATCCGCACCGTGTTCCGCATCTCACACAGTGACGCATCTAGGCGGCGCTCAAGCTCGGGCAGATGCTCAGCATCCAAGACGAAAGCACGATTCCGCCGCAGCTCGCGCTCGCCCTCGACCGCGTGCGCCAAGGGTACGTACGAGGATCCTTTGTAAAGCTATCGATCTTGAATTCTCTGTGTCTAGTGCGCACATTATGCCCAAAGCGCAGCTCCACGCGCAGCTCACCAAGGCGTGGGGCGACGACTGGCGCGCCAAATTCGAGTCGTTTGACGAGAACCCGGTGGCGGCCGCGTCGATCGGGCAGGTGCACCAGGCCGTGCTGCTCTCGGGCGAGCGTGTTGCGGTCAAGATCCAGTACCCGGGCGTCGCCGATAGCATCGCGAGCGACCTTCTCAACCTCAAGCGTCTCGTGACCTACATGAACATCTTTCCCAAGGGCCTTTACATTGACGAGATCATTCGGTATGAAGCCGTGCTCTATGAAGAGCAACGGAACTCAGACTGCGCGCTAGAGTCGGCCAGGACGAGCTCACGGCCGAGTGCGACTATGAGAACGAAGCCGCGAACCAGCGCAAGTTCAAGGCGCTCATCCAAGACAGCATTTTGCGCGACGGCTTTATCGTACCGGACGTGTTTGACGACGTCTCGACGAGCCGCGTGCTAACAACGTCGTGGATCGCGGGCGTGCCCCTCGACAAGATCACGACGCTCTCCCAAGAGGTAAAATGGTCTCAAAAATTTCCAATGATCCATGTATCAATGTATCAGGTGCGGAACGACGTGGCGCGCAAGCTGCTGCAGCTGACGATGCACGAGCTCTTTGTGTGGCGCTTCATGCAGACGGACCCGAACTGGAGCAACTTTATGTACGACGCGCAGCAGCACAAGATTGGGCTCATCGACTTTGGCGCCGCGCGCCCGTACGAAAAGAGCTTTGTGGACACGTACTTTGACATTGTGTGGGGCGCGGCCAACATGGACCCGAAGAAGATGATGAACGCGTCGTTCAAGCTCGGGTTTCTCACGGGTCTGATACATTGATACTCTCTGGTGTCGATGTTGAAAGACGACGAGTAGGGGACGAGTCCAAGGACATGCTCAAGGCCCACGAACAAGCCGGTATGGTCGTCGGCGAACCGTTCGCGTCGCACGAGCCGTACGACTTTTACAACAGTCACTTGACGCAGCGTCTTGCCCAGCACACGGACATGTTTATGAAGGGTACCGCTTCCTGCCAAGATCATGGGTTTTCATTTTGCGAGTATGATTAGGTCGCTTGACGCCGCCGCCGCGGGAAGTCTACTCGCTCCACCGCAAGCTCGCGGGCGCCTTCCTCATGTGCATCAAGCTCAAGGCCGTGATTCCGTGCCGCGACGTCCTCGAAGAAGTCGCCAAGCAGTACCAGCGCTAACGATAGACTACATACAGTACTCCAATTCCCACGCGTGTAATCTCGTATTCGAGTGTGGACAAGGTTACAACTGTTGCCATTTCGGCGACGCATGCAATGTTCTCATCTTCTAGTTGAAAATCGGGGAAATTTGTGATATTTTCTCATTTTGCACGCCTCTACTTGGGTCGAATGTTGAAGCCTCGTCGAGCGGTGCATGGCCTTGGCATGCGGCCGTTGAACAATCTTCCTTGTCACTGTCGGTCAGTTCAATTCTCCCTCCTGCTGCCGTGGCCTAAGATTTAATCTTTAAAGTGGCCACTCCACAAGTCCTCAATGTGTGTGTGTTGTATTGTAATGGAGGTCGCTGGTCGCTGACAGTGCTGACGGCCGAGTTGGAGCGTGTCGAGAGAGGAAGCGGCGGCAGCGGCGACGCGGCGACGAGCGAGCGGCGGACAGAGACGAGCGGGTCCGGGGCCTGCCGTTGGGAGGATTGAAAAGTCTCGAACACGAATTCGCGCCACGCAGCGCCGAGCGGATGGCGCTCGAAGGCCGGGAGGAGGTCGACGTACATGTCTGTGACAAGCTCCCACACAAACGGTTCGAAAAAAGCGTCTGGCAGCGTGTCGATGGCGCTCCTGGCGCGTGGTCGTGGAAGGCGCCGGACGTAATAGTGCCGCCACTTGGCACTCGCACGCGTCTGCAGCGGCGCGTCTGCATCGATGCAGACCGCAAAGA